AATATTTTTTTATCTTTGTAAATGTAAATCAGTATTACTCTGTTCACTTGTAATAGTCTTTACATGTAATTTTGTTCGTAAAAACGTGTTATCATGTTCGCAAAGACTTGTCCCAATGTTATGAGCACTTAGAATGTAAACTCATGTATAATAAAGCGAACATATATTTTAAAAGCAAAATATATTTCATTAATGAAAAGAGTACAGCAGGCAAGACGGTACGACTGTTAGCCCTACTTTAACTCCTGGAGGACTGACCTCATCATCCTAAGGCTGGTCGGCTGGAGGCTTCTTTGAGGGGTGTCTCGAACCTTCTGTCTGATCAGATTTTTGGGTGGCCGCTGCTTTATCATCCTGTCGTGCTATGGACATGAGAGTTTCACGCTAGTCCTCTGGGAGGTCGGACGTATCAAGGAGCGGATTCTTCGGCCGCAAGGCATAGATAGACTCGATCACCCATTTGGCAGCCTTCTCCTCGACCTCCGCTGCCTAATTCTGCATCTCTTCGGTCATGGAAGCAACTTTTCCCTGACTTGCTTGGAGTTCGGCCTCGAGAGCTTGCCTTTGCTTCTCGGAGGCATCCCTCTCTTGTTCTACACGCGAGGCCCGCAGAGAGGTCATTTTCAGCTCCTGGTCCCTCTCTCCGACCTCCTTGGAGAGTCTGGCTATAGTCCTTTAAAGCTCATTTACTTCCTCCGCATGCTTCTCGAGCTCGGTTTTTTGGAAGTCCACTATGCGAAGAGCCGCGTCCCTTTTGTTCAGGTACCGGTTCGTCGATTTAGAAGATAGGTTTCTTTCTGCCTCGACGGCTTCCAGGCCTCGCTTAAGCATTGCGTTCTCCTCCTTCAGTGCGAGCTCCCCCTTTGCAGCTCCCAGCCGAACCTTCTCCAAGGACAGTTGCATGGAAAACAGGGCCTACGAACAAGAAAAGATATCAAGTTAGCTTATCAAAAGGAACTAAGGGAAGTCCTCGCCGAGGATAGTTCTTTTACCTTGCTTAAGTGTTGGAGCGATGTGGACATTAAGTCCACGTCGCTGGAACCTACGAACTGCTCGAATGCTTTCGAGAGTCCGCACTCCAGCAAAGTGTAGACTATCGACTGTAGGTACTTTGACAGGTTCTCCAGCGAGTCCAACACTGGAGTTTCCTTCTTCGCGCCTTCCACAGGGGTCGTGTCGTCTGCCGGTTCCTTACTCGACCTCTTCCTAACATTTGGCTGTGACCTCCCGGGTTGGTCACCCTCGGATTCGGTCTTTGACTCTTCGATCTAAATTTGCCTTCTCTTCTTCTTCGCTAGCTGAGCCGTTGTCTTTAGCCTTGGGGGAACAACTGATGGCCGGAAAGTTTTCGTAGGTTGGATTGGTGCGTCCTCCGAAGGCTGATGCTGTGAAGTTCCAATAGTCGCACCGGGGGGCTCAATGTGGCACCTTTAGCCGGGGGATCGATAGGAGCAACATCGGTCGCCTTGGCGGTCCTTGACTGCGGAAAGTTGAATTGCTTTCGTCGCAGCGGCTCTGACTCTTTCAAAGGCATGGTCGCTGCATGCAAGCATCGTTAGCAAAAGTATTTCATTTCACGACCAGAAAAGAACCAGTTAGCAAGACTTACTCAATGGGGGCTCTAAAGACGTGTTTGTGTTGAAGAAATCGTATTTCAGCAGATTCGCGGTCGTCACGAGCTTCTTCGCGTCGCGACTGGCTTCAGGCAGGAACCCGAAATGTACGATCCTATCCGGATCGAAGAGTAGCCTTAAGTCGGTCGTCTTGTTAACTGCCAAAAAAGAAACAGGTCAGTAGAAAGAAAACGCATTCCAAATTTAATGAGTTCGTCAAGGGAAAAGAGCCTACTCGCGTCCTGAAAGTGGCAATGGCCGTCGTAACGAAAGAAGAAAAACTTCGATTCGTAGGCCCCCGTGTTGCTAGGGTAGTTGTGTATCCCCTCAGCTATGGTAGGTCGCCTGGACAAGTAATAAGAATCCTTGTCCTTACTCTTTTACAAGAAATACGAGTAGCCGAGCTCCGTTGCGGTTAGCTCGCCCAACCCGTTCTCATGACACGCGATGTACATGACAACAGCAATAACATACGCGTTCGGAGTGAGCTGCATTGGTACTATCCCGAAGTGATCTAAGATTAACCTGACAAAAGGGTGGAAGGGGATCAAACCCCTACCCTTGATGATCTCCTCGGAGATCGCAACCATCCCACTTGATGGGTATCGTGATGAGTGGGCCACATCGCGAAAAACTTCCACCTCGATACCATACTGTTTTATTACCCTCTCGAGCTTTCCCCCGGTAAGTACCGAGTAGACCTCAAGAGTGGCACTCGGAGCACCCTACGAGGACGAACTGGTTCGTTCCTCGGATCTGGTCGTTGAGGGGTCCATTCTACTGGTCTACAAAAGCGACAAGCAGGGGGGTCATTTAGCCATCGTACGCTACTCCGTACGATGACGTGGAAGGAAATAAACTCCCTAAAACCTAGAGAAAACCCTAACAGAATGATTTGAGCTGCCATTCAGGCTCAAACAAGACATGAGCGTCTCGTCTCCGATTAGCTACTGGAAGACTAACGCCATTTACCAACCATGGGAATAAGAAAATAAAAGCAGAGAAAGATTCTTACCTCTCGGAACACGAAAATGGCTCCTTCTGCCTCAAATATCAGAAACACGCTGGTTTGGAAGGCAAGGGTTCCAAGCTTGCGAAAGTCTCCTATTCTCTCTGAAAGAGACAAGTTTGGTGACATTGCCTGAGATGAGTCTTGAGTTTTTATAACGCATGAAATGACACTTGTTTTTCTCGGAATCAAAACGATGTTTGGGCGGCAAAATTTTCTCACTATTGATCACGACCACGTGTCACAGATCAGTGAGAAAGAGTGAGCGCAACGATTACAGAAAACCAAACCGTCATTTTTTTCCGTTGAAAAACTCAAGCGACGGCACTCTCTCCCTCAGCATTAATTGCGCCCCAACCTGCATTTAATGCTCTGATAAGGGGTGTCGATTCAGCATGCCATGCATTTAATGTTCTGATAAAGGATATCGTGTCAGCATATCATGCATTTAATGCGCCTGGCTGGCACTTATTACGCACAGGACACGTCTGTCAGAGCAGGGGCTATTTCATTAAATGCATATATATTGAAAATGCAACAGGCAACGCCTGACGAAGTCAGGTCGCTCATCCTTAACAAGCAATAACCATGCGAGGTCGTGTTCATAAAGGGCGCTACCCCGACCAATCTTCAGGCAGGTCGTAGTCACCAGAATTTCCCAAAAGCATATAGTCGCAGCATGAATTATAGTTTCTAAGGTTCAATCCTTAAACCTTAAAAACTAGGGGACTTCTGTTATGCCTAAAGAATGCAGGGCTGACGTAAGGTCCAGTCAGCGTGCAAAAAGTCAGAGCATGGGGGCACCCGCAGTTGAGTCGCGTGGGAAAAGGAGCAGCATGCTTTTGTCAGAATAGTGGGTGCATGCCAGACCAGCCAGAAGTTGTGGTGCTCCCATGTGTCCAATCCCTGCTCCAAATCTCGTAAATCACTCTAGAAGGTGGGCAATGTGACATAAAGAGGGATTTGCACGAATAATCCCACCAACTCACAGATTCAGTAATGATAACCTTAATTCATCCCACTATAAATTGAGAGCTCCTCTCTCATTGAGGGGATTCGCTATTCTCTCCCAATAATATATAGCATTCTCTCTCTTGTACTATCATTTGTAAGTTAGTCCGCTAACGCGACCTGACCTCTATCATTAATACAAACATCAGTGGACGTAGGATTTGCTTCCTTAGCATCCGAACCACTTTAAAAGCTGTTCCCATTGCATTTATTCTCATTTTTCTTGCATTCACATGTGTCTTCTGGGCCAGTTCAGCATTGCACACGTGCGTTTAGTCGGTGTAAAAATCACACATCAACATTATCATTATTATTATTAAATATTAATCATAGGAGAGCCACCCAAATCTAATTTCTAATATTTTGACCGAAACGAAAATGGGGGTGAATAACCACCAATGAGTGGCTGAGTGGTCAACTTGGACTCTTGGGTGTATTATTCTAGAAGTCTTAAATTCGATTAGCCTCGGCCACTAATTGGGGTAGCTATTAGACCCGACCGGTTGTCCTAGGGTCTTGAAGAATTAGTTAAGGTGAATGCAAGCTGGCTCTGACACCCTTGGTCATAAAAAAAAATAAGGGCAAATTATGTTAGTTCCAGGTAGGGGTGGGCAGGTCTAGGTACCCGCCCTTTTTTAAGGACGGTTTCGGTTCCTAGAAACTTGGAACTAGAACCTGAAACATAGGTTCTAGTTCCACGTACTCGGATCTTGGTTCCGATTTTGGTTCCGGGTACTCAGGTTAATTTTAATTACCTTCATACTTTTTAAAAATTATAATACACCCCAATAGTTTATAAAAATTACAATTTAGTCACGGTTCCTACTCGAGTACTAGGACCTCGGTTCCAGTTCTGGTTATGGTTCTCGGTTCCTGCATGGGTGGAACCGAAATCGGAACAGCACAGTGCCGATTCTAATTTTTTAGAACTGAAACCGACCCTGTGAGAGCCGGTTCTAGGTAGGAATCGAAACTAAAACCCTAGGTATCTACCAATTTTGATTCTATCCTAATTTTTTGTCTATCCCTAATTTTATATTCTCGGAGGATTAACTGAGGTGTGCACAAACTGGTTTGAACTCCCCAGCCATAGAAAGAAAAAAAAAAAAAAGGGGGGCGAATTATTTTATCAAGTGTTAGAAACTAAAATATATTATCTTCTTCTTTCTTATTTATGATGTTGTTATAAAAAATATTATCTCAGACAGAGCTAATTAATTGTAATTAATTGCATCTGACAGCTAACACAATAAATTCTTTTTAATTCCATGTTTTTTGAAAACATGCAATTATTATTGACATGGGCAGCGATTAATTGAGCAGGCTTTGATTGAATTAAAATCCTATACATAGGAGGGCAAATTTTCTTCTTGAAGCACAGCCTCTTGTGTAATCTTTTTAATTAAAGCTTTGTTAATTAGTGTGTGAGATCGAAGTGAAATCAACAATGGCGGGTCTTACTGGTAAGGTGGAGAAGGAAGTTGAAATCCATGCTCCTGCTGAGAAGTTCTACAAGCTCTGGAAATCTGAATGCTTTCATCTCCCCACTGCCTCCCCTTCCAACATTCAAGGTGTTGAGGTCCATGAAGGTGACTGGGAGAGTGCCGGCTCCATCAAAATATGGAAGTATACCGTCGGTAAGACCAGTACATAATCTTATATTATACATATAAAGTTATATTTACAGTTTGTTTCTTTTGTGAATGTCTGTATTTTCTTAAAATACCAACCTCATTTACCTAAACTGCGAATATCAGTCTGCATTTTCTTTTAATTCAAACCTCATTTCAGACAGGTTTTTTGTATTGAAAATTGTGAAAATTAGAGTTCAAATCTACTATTGAGAGCTTACATTTGAAAAGAAGTTAAAAGGACATAACCCTTCGAGATTTGATTAAATAACAAAAATATCCCTACCATTAATTAGATGTCAAGAATTACACTATTATGACTTAATGAATATTTACATAATTACTTTTGGACTGTTTATTATATCGCTTTAAATTTAATGGAAAGGAAAGGGAAGGAGATTTTTGTTATTTTAACTCCATAAAAAATGCTGATGTTTGCCGGCAGAAAAGCTTGTTAAAATGCCAAATTAAGAGCTGCATGCATGATTCTATATATATTAGGATATTATAAACATATATACCCTCATTTACTTATGGTATTTGTGAGATACTGAACTCAAAACCCTAATTTATAATCATAATACTGTATTATTTTTCGTGTATGGAATATTTAACTAACAGAAGGGAGAGCCGAGACTTTCAAGGAGAAAATTGAAGCAGATGATGAGCATATGACAGTAACTCTCCACGGCATTGAAGGAGATATCTTCAAGAACTTCAAGTTCTGGAAACCCGTCTTTAAAGTTGCACTAAAACAGCAAGGCAGTGGCAGCGTTGCGACGGTGAGCATCGAATACGAGAAGCGAAACAAGGACGTTCCTGATCCAGTAGCCTATGTCGATTTCATGGCGAGCATGACCAGAGACGTTGCCTCTCATATTATGAAGGCATAAAATCAAGGGCCAGCAAGCTCTGTTCAATCTCTCTAGCTTACTATACAATAATAAGCTGGAGAATTTGAGTGGGTTTAATTCTATGTTTGGTGTGTGTTGTGATGTGGGATGTGTTGTGTGAGATAAATGGTAATAAATATGAATAAAACTTCCAGCTCCTTATGTGGTAGCTGTTTCCTTTCTTCTTAATTATGGCTCTCTCTTTTAATTGTTATTATTCAAGCTTTAAAGAGATGCAAGCCATACAATTAATCAAGTCCTTGAAAATTTATAATTTATTTGTAAATTTAAACAGCAAAAGAGATTAATTTAGTATTTAACTCTAAGGTTATAATCCCGGACCGAAACAAAGATTGAAGGCAAAAGTCAAGAGTATATTTCTTCTGTGGTGAAGTGAGTCTGGTAATATAATATTGTGTATGATAAATAGAAAAATCACTGATATGAACTTTGGTATGTGATAAAACAAATTTTTCTTTTATATATATGTGTGCTGCTCTGTGCTAGGTAAAACTATTTTTATTTTTTCTTAGTTTTAAATAAATATTTCAGACTGCAAAATGAGAAATGGCTTGGAATTGACATAACGCAATGTTAAATGGAATAAGTATATAAACAAAAGTGGAAACAGCAGAAATACTATCTTTTAAATTTGATTTGCAGATATTTTTGTGGGCATGCATGGGCTCTTTCCAAACTTACCTCTTATGTTCCAATTTATTTTTCTCTACATTAAATGTGGTTGGTTTTAATGACTTTCTTCTATGGTTTGCTGCGGCACAAGGACAACTTATGCGCACATGTGCTCACTCACAGACAACCAAAACTGTTAGACTAGGAAGCTCAAGACTTCGCGTTTAATCAATTGCTGATGCGGATGTTCCTGAAAAGATTTGGAGAGATTTTCTAAGGAAACAAACAGAAAATTCAGAGAAAACAGAGAACAAGAGAATTCTGGAATTTAGATTTTCCTTAAAATGAATTTATTCAATTACAAAATACATCACTTTGCTCTTATATAGACTTGACAGGCTAGAATTAACAGAATGTGTAAATCAGGTAGAAACGACAAAATTAGTTGCATCCAGTTGCACAAGTTGGAGGCTGGAGACTCACGCACAGAGAGTGGAATATCTTCAAGTTGTGAATCTGAAAGTTTCAAATGCTGAAAACCCAGTTCTTTCAGTTTTAAAGAACTCAATTAACACTTCTAACGGATATTTTGACTTTCCATCCAAAAATCCTTCCTTTAACAAACTTTCCGTTAGAATCTGTAACTTACTAACGGAAACAAAGTTTAACTGTTTCATTTTATTCCAACATAGCCTTTAGTACATTTTAGGTTCAGTATATATATGACTTCTCAGTCTTTGTAATTCATTCTGCCAAATTAATAAACAGAAATTCTGTTTCGACTTCTGTAGAAAATTATCTCTTCATTATAATGAAACTTGGAAATTAGTTTCCTAAAGCAACTGGCATGAAAATTGTTGGCTGCAAGTGGGTTTTTATGGTACATATCATCCTAATAGCACAAAGCCAGATTGGTTGTTAAGGTTTTCTTTAGATAACAAGTATTGACTTTTTTCAAAAATTAGAATTATGTTATTAAGCTATTAGAATGATGTTTATATAATTCTTGTCAAGTGTGGCTGCGATAATAAACAGGTAGATGTGGATAGTGCCTTTCTAATGGCACACTAGGCTATTTCATGGAATAAGCTGAAGGTTTTGCTGATTTTAGGTTTCTTAACCATGTATGCAATTTGATAAAGCCTTCTATGGCTTGAAGCAGGCGCCTAAAATCTGGTTTAAGAAACTACGAGAAGCTTTTATTGAATGGGGATTTTAGAATGTTAAATCATATATCCTGTTTATTTTAAGAAAGAAGCTCATATTGTTATAATCTTGTATATGTGAATGAAATTTTTCTTACCAGAAATAATAAGGGTACAATTTTTCAGTAGTTTTTTTTATCTTATAATCTTTTAAAGCCGGTTAAATCATGGTTTTCCCTACAAGAGTTTGAGTCTCCTTGTGTTATATAATCAATATTATTGTTTCCTCACAACTTTAGTTTCGAATTAGGATTTTCAAAAAAGGTCGGCAGATCTCTAAATTATGAAAATAAAATAAATAAAAAGCTTATAAGAATGAAATTGCTTCCTAACCTAAATTGTTTTTTTTTTTTTTTTTTTTTTTTTTTGATTGGAGGTGTCCAGATTATTGTGCACAACTCAACTAATCCTCGAGACTCTAAAGTTGATAACTGTGTAAATCTCATGATCACCTATTAATAACCTAGTAGATCAAACTCAAGATCTCTTGAGTAATACATCAAGAGTATAATTGATTACTGAACTATCAAGGGGTGGTTATCCTAACTTAAATTGTTCTTATCTAAACTTTGTTGAGAAATCAATTATTGCATAATTATAATTAAGAAAACTTGTACTATCTGTGTGGCCCTCTATGATCAACTGGAGAGGGCCATCATCTTCATTGATTAATTTTATTTACTAATTTGGTTGATTAATTAAATTTTATACTGGACGTGGTTATGTAATAAACCACAACACCGGAGTTGGTGATAATCTACCGATTACAACATATTTATTGAAAGGGAAGTTGGAAATTATTGCCGACTGAATAAATTAATAAAAGAAAATTGTCATTTCAAACTGGTAGTTTCTCTTAAATAATGTAAATCAAACCTAAAAAGATTTGGCTAATCTCATGAAAATGACGTCTTTTTTTGGCCAGTTATTGAGAATTCGAATTTAGAAGTCGGTTATAATTGATAAAACAATGGGATTTACTTGGTGTTAACATAATTTGTAAGAGATCGATGACAATAATCATCCGATTGAAGATAAGAAGTCACGTGTTAAAAAAAATATATATTATCTTCTTTTTTTTTGTGGTTCCTAAAAATATATCAGATAGAGCTAATTAATTGTTATAATTGCAACTAACATCTAACTACAATAAATTCTTCTTTATAATTTGTTCATAAAATATTTTCATAAGGGTACCCGTTAACAGACCTGTTCTTTAATTTAATTTTATAATTATAATAAGATATTTTTCGATGTAGTCTGTCTTCCCTCACTGAAAATTAATGAACGTGAAACATGTGTTAACATATAGATACTTCTCCTGCTGCTAATGATAAGAACATGGAATTACTATTGACAAAGAGGGCGATTTGGCAGGATTTGATTGAATTGAATTTCTATATAAAGGGAGGCCAAATTATCTTCTTGAAGCACAGCCTCTTGTGTAATCTTTTTAATTAAAGCTTTTTAATTAGTGTTTGAGATCGAAGTGAAATAACAATGGGGGTCTTACTGGTAAGGTGGAGAAGGAAGTTGAAACGATGCTCCTGCTGAGAAGTTCTACAAGCTCTGGAAGTGAATGTTTCATCTCCCCACTGCCTCACCTTCCAACATTCAGGGTGTTGGGTTCATGAAGGTGACTGGGAGACCGGCGGCTCCATCAAAATATGGAAGTACACCGTGGGTAAACTATAATCGATCTCATATTATATTACGAAATTATATTTATTAACGTCGATCTCTTTTGTGAATATCTGTATTTATAAACAGATTTTTATTTTATCGAAAACTGTTAAAAATTTGCATTTAAAGTTTAGTAATGCCATTTTTTATATACACCATAGTCCATAGATCATCTGTAAAATTGTTCTTAGCTCCCCTCCGCGACGCGGGACTGTGTCGTAGTTGTATATCGAGGGACGCCGTTCTGCGTCATCCTGTTTGAGATAGAGTAAGATGCAACGTGTAATCTCATTCCAAAATGCTGAGGCAATGTGGGTCGGAATAATAGCGTATTACGTCTGTTGTTGCGCCGGGAAAGGCGACGCTAGTATAAATAAATTTTTAGTGGTGTGACTAAGGTCCTAATTATAATCAAGATATATTACAATGAGCTTAATAATATATTACTTCTCATGCATATATATACAGAAGGGAGAGCCGAGATTTCAAGGAGAAATTGAAGCAGATGATGAGCATATGACAGTAACTCTCCATGGCATTGAGGAGATATCTACAAGACCTTCAAGTTCTGGAAACCCGTCTTCAAAGTTGCACCAAAACAGCGGGGCAGCGGCAGCGTTGCGACTGTGAGCATCGAATACGAGAAACGAAACAAGGACGTCCTGATCCAGTTGCTCATCTGATTTCATGGCCAGCATGACAGAGACGTTGCTTTTCACATTATGAAGGCATAAAATCAAGGGTCATCGAATTTGTTCAATCTCTCCAGCTACTATGCCATACAATAATAATTAAGCTTGAGAGTTTAATTCTGTGGGTTTAATTTTAAGTTTGGTCTATGTTGTGTAAGAATTAATGTAGTATAAAATGTGCTTGGAATTACGCATGCTTTTTCTGTATGTAAATAAGTTGTTCTTCGTGGTGTGCTAAAATTAATATGAATAAAACTAGCAGCTCCTTATGTGGTAGCTGTTTGCTTTCTTCTTAATTATATGCTCTCTCAGTCTTTGTTAATTAATTCTGTTATTCAAGCTTTAAAGAGATGCAAGCCTTATAATAATAAAATCCTTGAACATTATAATTTATTTGTAATTTTAAACAAAAATGGATTAATCTAATATTGACTCTAATGATGATATACTCCCACACCGAAAGCAAGATCGAAGGCACAACTTAATTGAGAATTTTTGTCAATAATATTGTATACAGACATTTCCAAAGCTTAATCTATGCACATTTTTTTTTTATATAAATGTTTTATTAAGAGTTTATGGTAGGTATCACAAAAATATATGTAAATAAAATAAATATTCGGTTCAATAATTATAATCATATTAATCGTAAATATGGGTAGAGGCAGAAACATGCTTAATCCTCCTAAAATATTTTTGAATTTAAAAATAAATAACACTTTCATTCCTAGTAGTTTATTTGTTATCTTTGGTCTTCCTTATTCATTAAACTTATACTTTGACCTTC